TTATCTTCAGGTGAGCGCGGGGTTAATCTTCAGGTGGCGCAGGGGTTAATCTTCAGGTGGTGTGAGCACTTGGGGTTAATCTTCAGGTGAGCACTTGGGGTTAGCTCTTCATGTGAGCACTTGGGGTTAATCTACGGGTGAGCACTTGGGGTTAATCTACAGGTGAGCACCCAGGGGTTAATCTTCAGGTGAGACACTTGGGGGTTATTCTCCAGGTATAGTGAGGTTAATCTACAGAGTGTTAGAGCGCAGGAGTTAATCTTCAGGTAAGCACTTGAGGTTAATCTACAGGTGAGCACTTGGGGTTAATCTACAGAGTGAGCGCAGGGGTTAATCTACAGGTGAGCACTTGAGGTTAATCTACGGTGAGCACTTGGGGTTATCTTTCAGGTGACGCAGGGGGTTAATCTACAGGTAAGCATAGGGTTAATCTTCAGGTGAGCACTTGGGGTTAATCTTCAGGTGAGAGCACTTGGGGTTAATCTTCAGGTGAACGCAGGGGTTAATCTGGGTGAGAGCGCGGGGGTTAATCTTCAGGTGAGCACTTGGGGTTAATCTCAGGTGAGCACTTGGGGTTAATCTTCATGTGTGAGCGCAGGGGTTAATCTACAGGTGAGCTTGGGGTTAATCTTCAGGTGAGCACTTGGGGTTAATCTTCAGGTGACGCGGGGTTATCTGAGTGAGCACTTGGGGAGTTAGTATCTTCAGGTGAGAGCACTTGGGGTTAATCTTCAGGTGAGCTTGGGGTTAATCTTCAGGTGAGCACTTGGGGTTAATCTTCAGGTGAGCACTTGGGGGTTAATCTTGGTGAGCAACTTGGCGGGTTAATCTTCAGGTAAGCACTTGGGGTTAATCTACAGGTGAGCGCAGGGGTTAATCTGGTGAGCATAGGTTAATCTGGTATTGAGCGCAGGGGTTAATCTTCAGGTGAGCACTTGGGGGTTAATCTGAGTGTGAGCACTTGGGGTTAATCTTCAGGTGAGCACTTGGGGGTTAATCTACAGGTGAGCACTTGGGGTTATCTACAGGTGAGCACCCAGGGAATTTAATCTTCAGGTGAGCACTTGGGGGTTAGCTCTTCAGGATGAGCACTTGGGGTTAATCTTCAGGTGAGCACTTGGGGGTTAATCTTCAGGTGAGCACTTGGGGGTTAATCTACAGGTGAGCACTTGGGGGTTAATCTCCAGGTAAGCACTTGGGGGTACTATTCTTCAGGTGCTCTATGTGGGCTAAAATAACAAAAGCTCTTGATCGTGACTGCATCACCATCGTCCACCTATAAAGAAAAAAAATCACAAATCATAAGGAATTTCAGGCTTAGCATTCGAATATATGACTCAGTTCCTGCCAGATTCGACCCCATTTCCTTCAGATTCGACCCCATCCCCCCAGATTCGGCCCCATTCCCCAGATTCGACCCCATTCCCCCAGATCCGACCCCATCACCTTCAGATTCGAGCCCCATCCTTCGGAATTCGACCCATCCCTTCAGATTCGGCCCATCCTTCGAATTCGACCCATCCCTTCAGATCCGACCCCATCCTTCAGATCCATTACATCCCCTTAGATCGACTGTTTTCAGATCCATTGTCCCCCAGATCCGACCCCATTCCCCCAGATCCGACTCCATTCCCCCAGATTCGACTATTCCCCCAGATTCGACCCATTCCCCAGATTCGACCCCATTCCCCCCAGATCCGACATTCCCCAGATCCGACCCATCCCCCCAGATCCAATATCCCCCAGATCGACCCATTCCTTCAGATCCGACCCATCCCCCAGATCAACCCCATCCCCAGATTCGGACCCCTCTTACTCGACCCCATTACCCCCCACACTCGCCCCCATCTCCCCCCGACCCCACTACCCCCCCTGCCCTTCCTCCCAAATTAAACACCGAGGTTAATTTAATCCTAGAGTGTAGTTTAATCAAGGTATGTGGTTTATGCTGTTAAGGTTAGGCTGTTGGGTTAAGCTAGGTTTTATTTAGACAATATTCTCAATGAGGAGGATGATAATTACAGTACGATGATAATTACAGTAGGATTATAATTACAGTAGGATTATAATTACTGTATAGTAGGGTGATAATTATAGTAGGATTATAATTACAGTAGGATGATAATTACAGTAGGATTATAATTACAGTAGGATTATAATTATAGTAGGATGATAATTACAGTAGGATGATAATTACAGTAGGATTATAATTATAGTAGGGTGATAATTATAGTAGGGTGATAATTACAGTAGGATAATAATTACAGTAGGATTATAATTATAGTAGGGTGATAATTATAGTAGGGTGATAATTACAGTAGGATTATAATTACAGTAGGATTATAATTATAGTAGGATGATAATTACAGTAGGATGATAATTACAGTAGGATTATAATTACAGTAGGATGATAATTACAGTAGGATTATAATTACAGTAGGATTATAATTATAGTAGGATGATAATTACAGTAGGATGATAATTACAGTAGGATTATAATTACAGTAGGATTATAATTATAGTAGGATTATAATTACAGTAGGATGATAATTACAGTAGGATTATAATTACAGTAGGATTATAATTATAGTAGGATGATAATTACAGTAGGATGATAATTACAGTAGGATTATAATTACAGTAGGATGATAATTACAGTAGGATTATAATTACAGTAGGATTATAATTATAGTAGGATGATAATTACAGTAGGATGATAATTACAGTAGGATTATAATTATAGTAGGATGATAATTACAGTAGGATGATAATTACAGTAGGATTATAATTACAGTAGGATGATAATTACAGTAGGATTATAATTATAGTAGGATGATAATTACAGTAGGATGATAATTACAGTAGGATTATAATTACAGTTATAATTATAGTAGGATTATAATTACAGTAGGATGATAATTACAGTAGGATTATAATTACAGTAGGATTATAATTATAGTAGGATGATAATTACAGTAGGATGATAATTACAGTAGGATTATAATTACAGTAGGATGATAATTACAGTAGGATTATAATTACAGTAGGATTATAATTATAGTAGGATGATAATTACAGTAGGATGATAATTACAGTAGGATTATAATTATAGTAGGGTGATAATTATAGTAGGGTGATAATTATAATAGGATGATAATTACAGCAGGGTAATAATTACAGTAGGATTATAATTATAGTAGGGTGATAATTATAGTAGGGTGATAATTATAGTAGGGTGATAATTATAATAGGATGATAATTACAGTAGGATAATAATTACAGTAGGATTATAATTATAGTAGGGTGATAATTATAGCAGGATGATAATTACAGTAGGATGATAATTACAGCAGGGTGATAATTATAGCAGGATGATAATTACAGCATGGTGATAATTATAGTAGGGTGATAATTATAGCTGGATGATAATTATAGCAGGATGATAATTACAGCAGGATGATAATTACAGTATGATGATAATTATAGCAGGATGATAATTACAGTAGGATGATAATTACAGTAGGATGATAATTATAGCAGGATGATTATAGCACTAGGATGATAATTATAGCAGGATGATCATAGCAGTAGGATGATAATTACAGAAGGATGATAATTATAGCAGGATGATAATTATAGCAGGATGATAATTACAGCAGGATGATAATTATAGCAGGATGATTATAGCACTTGGATGATAATTATAGCAGGATGATCATAGCAGTAGGATGATAATTACAGAAGGATGATAATTATAGCAGGATGATAATTATAGCAGGATGATTATAGCACTTGGATGATAATTATAGCAGGATGATCATAGCAGTAGGATGATAATTACAGAAGGATGATAATTATAGCAGGATGATTATAGCACTAGGATGATAATTACAGCAGGATGATAATTATAGCAGGATGATCATAGCAGTAGGATGAAATTACAGAAGGATGATAATTATAGCAGGATGATCATAGCAGTAGGATGATAATTACAGAAGGATGATAATTATAGCAGGATGATTATAGCACTAGGATGATAATTACAGAAGGATGATAATTATAGCAGGATGATCATAGCAGTAGGATGATAATTATAGCAGGATGATAATTATAGCAGGATGATAATTATAGCAGGATGATTATAGCACTAGGATGATAATTACAGAAGGATGATAATTATAGCAGGATGATCATAGCAGTAGGATGAAATTACAGAAGGATGATAATTATAGCAGGATGATAATTATAGCAGGATGATTATAGCACTAGGATGATAATTACAGAAGGATGATAATTATAGCAGGATGATCATAGCAGTAGGATGATAATTATAGCAGGATGATAATTATAGCAGGATGATAATTACAGAAGGATGATAATTATAGCAGGATGATTATAGCACTAGGATGATAATTACAGAAGGATGATAATTATAGCAGGATGATCATAGCAGTAGGATGAAATTACAGAAGGATGATAATTATAGCAGGATGATCATAGCACTAGGATGATAATTACAGCAGGATGATAATTATAGCAGGATGATTATAGCACTAGGATGATAATTATAGAAGGATGATAATTATAGCAGGATGATCATAGCAGTAGGATGATAATTGCAGTAGGATGATAATTACAGTAGGATGATAATTACAGTAGTATGATAACAGCAGGATGATAATTATAGCAGGATGATCATAGCACTAGGATGATAATTGCACTAGGATGATAATTATAGAAGGATGATTATTATAGCAGGATGATCATAGCACTAGGATGATAATTGCACTAGGATGATAATTATAGAAGGATGATAATTATAGCAGGATGATCATAGCAGTAGGATGATAATTGCAGTAGGATGATAATTATAGCAGGATGATTATAGCACTAGGATGATAATTATAGCAGGATGATCATAGCAGTAGGATGATAATTGCAGTAGGATGATAATTACAGCAGGACACGTGATTGACCTAACCTTCCATGCTGCCATACAGTTCCCAGGTTTGCCGGCCTTAGAGTTCACACCCCCGGCGGTGTTTCAAGACATGACAGACTGTGTGAGCCGTTTGTTTAACTTTGTGCGGCTCGACGATGACATCTTCCCGCCCAAGAACCGCCATTTTACCGCCGTCTATTCCAGGGATAAAGATTATTTGTGAGTTGTGGGTATTTGTGAGTTTGTTGTGAGTATTTGTGAGCTGTGGGTATTTGTGAGTTTGTTGTGAGTATTTGTGAGTTTGTTGTGAGTATTTGTGAGTTGTGGGTATTTGTGAGTTTGTTGTGAGTATTTGTGAGTTTGTTGTGAGTATTTGTGAGTGTAGTGAGTATTTGTGAGTTTGTTGTGAGTATTTGTGAGTGTTGTGAGTTGTGGTTATTTGTGAGTTTGTTGTGAGTATTTGCGAGTATTTGTGAGCTTGTTGTGAGTATTTGCGAGTTTGTTGTGAGTATTTGCGAGTTTCTTGTTGTTTCTTTTAATAATTTGTGAGTTTGTTGTGAGTATTTGTTAGTTTGGTAGGGTTGGGTTAGGTTAAGTTGGGTTATGTTAGGGTAGGTTAGGTTAGGTTTTGAAAATATGTATTATTTCTGCCTGCTGATAATTGATAAATAGATAGACAAATTATTTAAACACAATATTTGATAAACCTGAATTAGTTAAACATGATAATAAACAGACGAATTATTTAAACAATTATAAACAGACAAATTATTTAGTCACAAAAATTAATAAACCTGAATTATTTAAACCCGATAATTGAGAATAATTTTCCCCGCATTCCGTAGATTCGAAATATGCGAGGAATTCTTCACTTCAGCTATTCGTGCTCGCATCGTTGACTTCATCCTGAGGCGAAAGAGATTCAAGAGCAACGACACAGACGACTTTGCTTTTGGCATCGAGAAACTACTGAACGAAGGGGTGTATGCAGCTGCCTACCCTATACATGAGGTGAGTGTGGATGACCTGTAACCTGTAACTGTCTTGTTGACCTGTAGTTGTTTTGTTGATCTGTGGTTCTTGATGACCTGTAACCTGTAGCTGTCTTGTTGACCTGTAGTTGTTTTGTTGATCTGTGGTTCTTGATGACCTGTAACCTGTAGCTGTCTTGTTGACCTGTAGTTGTTTTGTTGATCTGTGGTTCTTGATGACCTGTAACCTGTAGCTGTCTTGTTGACCTGTAGTTGTTTTGTTGATCTGTGGTTCTTGATGACCTGTAACCTGTAGCTGTCTTGTTGACCTGTAGTTGTTTTGTTGATCTGTGGTTCTTGATGACCTGTAACCTGTAGCTGTCTTGTTGACCTGTAGTTGTTTTGTTGATCTGTGGTTCTTGATGACGTGTAACCTGTAGCTGTCTTGTTGACCTGTAGTTGTTTTGTTGATCTGTGGTTCTTGATGACCTGTAACCTGTAGCTGTCTTGTTAACCTGTAAATCTTGAAGACAATCCTGTAGCCTGTTTCGATGATCTATAACTACTTTCTCAGCCTGTAACTACCTCAACGACCAAAGTAACTCGAAAACAAACCCTGCGACTGCATTTCCGATCTAACCTAACCGCCGTTCGTCACCCCACAGGGCGATCTACGAACGGAGGGAAACGAACGCTCGCTACTCTTCAGCCAATGGGCAGCGGTGAGGAACTTCTACAAATACCAGCCGCTCGATTACGTCAAGGACTACTTTGGGGTCAAGATCGGGCTCTATTTCGCCTGGCTGGGGTTCTATACGTACATGTTGATACCTGCGTCAATCGTGGGTCTGCTTTGTTTTTTTTACGCCGTGGCAACGATCAATAATCATCCTCCGAGGTTTGTTTTGTCCCGATGTGTTTATTTTTGTTGTTGTTATTTTTATTAGGTTTAGTATTTTTAGTTTTATTAGCATTATCTATTTTTTGGGGGGTCGGGGGGGGGGAGGGGTGTGAAGTTTAGTGTTATTCCCAACTTACTAACTTTAACCTAACCTAACTATAGCCTAACCTAACTTTAACCTAACCATAACTTAACCTAACCTAACTTTAACCATAACCTAACCATAACCTAACCCTAACCTAACCATAACCTAACCTAACCTAACCCTAACCTAACCATAACCTAACCTAACCCTAACCTAACCATAACTTAACCTAACCTAACTTTAACCATAACCTAACCATAACCTAACCTAACTTTAACCATAACCTAACCATAACCTAACCATACACTAACCTAACCTAACCTCCGTCTCATTCCAGTCACGACATCTGCTCAAAGAACATCACCATGTGCCCTCTGTGTGATCACTTCTGTAACTACTGGAGCCTACAGGAGACTTGCTTTCATGCTCGGTTTACCTACTTGGTGGATAACCCGGCCACCATCTTCTTCACGGCCTTTATGTCTCTGTGGGGTGAGTATGACCTGACCTGACATAATCTGACCTGACCTGACATAACCCGGCCACCATCTTCTTCACGGCCTTTATGTCTCTGTGGGGTGAGTATGACCTGACCTGACCTAACATGACCTGACCTGACCTAACCTGGCCTAGATAAGGTTAGTTTAGTTTAGCTTTAGTATACATAAGAACGTAAGAATGGATGAAACAGTAACTATTGGCCCATACTAGGCAGGAGGCTCCATCTACACCCAACCCCTATGGTCCATAATAGGCAGGGGGCCCCATCTACACCCAACCCCTATGGTCCATACTAGGCAGGGGGCCCCATCTACACCCAACCCCTATGGTCCATACTAGGCAGGGGGCCCCATCTACACCCAACCCCTATGGTCCATACTAGGCAGGAGGCCCCATCTACACCCAACCCCTATGGTCCATACTAGGCAGGAGGCCCCATCTACACCCAACCCCTATCACTCATATATCCATCCAGCCTGTGTTTGAAGCTAACGAGTGTAGCCGAGTTAATGATGATGTTTGGTAACTTGTTCCACTCATCCACTACCCAATGTTTACCTATTTGGCGTCTACATCTAAATTTGTCTATTTTAAAACCATTGTTACGAGTTCGCTCCTGATTGGATAGTTTGAGTACCTTTGTTATGTCACCTTTGTTTAACCCTGACTTCCATTTATACACCTCGATCATATCGCCCCTCACTCTACATCTGTTGAGGGAGTGCAAATTAAGATGCTTTAACCTGTCTCTGTATTCAAGGTTCCTAATGCCTGGGATTAGTCTTGTCATTCTCCTCTGAATTCTTTCCAATGATTCTATATCCATTCTGTAATACGGTGACCAGAACTGAACTGTATAATCCTGGTGTGGTCTCACAAGCACAAGATACAGTTTTAGGATGACCTCGCTAGTCTTGTAACTAACACTCCTTTGTATGAACCCAAATACTTTATTAGCCTTGTTACGAGCAAAAACACATTGTTTACTTGGCTTAAGATTCCTACTTATCATTACTCCTAAATCTTTCTCACAGTCGGATTTCTCTATAACATCGTTGTTCATCTGGAATCTGGTTTCTCTGTTTACATCTCCCAGACTAAGTACTCTACATTTGTCCACATTGAATTTCATCTTCCATTTTTCAGACCATTCGAAATTTTTTTAGATCTTTTTGTATAGATGATGATAGGATGAGGTTAGTTTAGTGACAAGTTATATTTGATACGCATTAATATAGATGATGATCAGCTTGAGGTCAGGTTAGGTTAGGTTAGTTTAGTTTTAGGTTAGGTTAGATTAGTGTTAGGTTAGTTTAGTGTTAGGTTAGTTTTAGGTTAGGTTAGATTAGTGTTAGGTTAGATTAGTGTTAGGTTAGTTTAGTGTTAGGTTAGTTTTAGATTAGTGTTAGGTTAGTTTAGTGTTAGGTTAGTTTTAGGTTAGATTTGGTTAACATAAGTAATTTAGTATTAATGATTATAGCTTAAGGTTAGTTTAGATTAAGTTAGGTTAGATTAGTGTTACGTTAGTTTTAGGTTAGGTTAGATTAAGTTAGGTTAGGTTTAGGGTAATCACTCCATGTGATATAATCCTTTGCGTGTGACCATCAAGTCATAATTTGCCTTCATCTTATCCCTAACTCTCAGCGGCGTTGTTCCTGGAGATGTGGAAGCGTTACTCTGCCGAGATCACTCATCGGTGGGACCTGACGGGCTTCGACATACAGGAGGAGCACCCCAGGCCTCAGTACCTGGCCCGGCTCTCACACATCAAGAAGAAAACAGTCAACATCGTCACGAAGACCCTCGAACCCAGGCCCCCGTTCTGGAGGATGAGAGTTCCCGGAGTTATGATTAGTTTATCGTCTGTGTTCCTATTGGTGAGTGTTTGGGTAGGGTTAGGTTAGGTTAATGTTCCTATTGGTAAGATAAAGTTTCACAAATTCACAAGTGTCTCTCTCTCTCTCTCTCTCTCTCTCTCTCTCTCTCTCTCTCTCTCTCTCTCTCTCTCTCTCTCTCTCTCAAGCAACATATAGTTAGACTAGGCTACCCGCGCACACCAAAATAATCAGCATGGTATTTCTCTCACCTCCTCCCGTAGGTGACAATGGCCCTCGTAGCAGTCATGGGGGTGATTCTGTACCGCATGTCCATCTTGGCCGCCCTAAGCATCCACGGAGACTCGGTGATCACGTCGTACGCGATAATCTTCACCTCCACCACCGCTGCGTTCATTAACCTCATCTGCATCATGATCTTTAACCAGGTTCGTGCTTTTGTTGCTGTTGTTGTTTATGTTATTGTTGTTGTTATTGTTGTTGTTATTTTTATTATTATTGTTGTTTTTGTTATTATTATTGTTGTTTTTGTTATTATTATTGTTATTAGTTTATATTTCCATCTGTAACACGTTAAAATGTATTCATATTTCTCTCCTTCAGATATATGCGAGAGTAGCCGAGTACCTGACAGAGTTGGAACTACAGAGAACGCAGACGGAATTCGACGATTCTCTCACCCTCAAGATCTACTTGTTGCAGTTTATTAATTACTATTCCTCGATATTCTACATAGCATTCTTTAAGGGCAAGATGGTGGGCTACCCCGGCGATTATAACAGGGTCCTCGGCTCGCGTCAAGAGGAAGTGAGTTGTACTGGGGGTTTGTGGTTTGATTAGGGTAGGGTACGGGAGGTTAGGGTAGGGTAGGGTACGGGGGGTCAGGTTAGGTTAGTGTAGGGTGGGTGGGGGTAGGGGTAGGGTGGGTGGGGTAGGGTAGGGTAGGGTATGGGGGTGTTAGGTAGGGTAGGGTGGGTATGGGGAGGTTAGGTAGGTAGGGTGGGTATGGGGGGTTAGGGTGGGGTAGGGGTGGGGGGTTGTGTTAGGGTAGGGTAGGTATGGGGGGGGTTAGGTAGGGTAGGGTAGGGTATGGGGGCAGGTTAGGGTAGGGGGTAGGGTATGGGGTGGGAGGGGGTAGGGGGTCAGGTTAGGTAGGTAGGGTCAGGTAAGGTTAGGGTAGGTTAGGTAATGGGGGTCAGGTTAGGGTAGGGGTAATGGGGTCAGGTTAGGTTAGGGTAGGTTAGGTTAGGGTACGGGGGGTCAGGTTAGGGTACGGGGGTCAGGTTAAGTGTAGGGTAGGTTAGGTCATGGTTAGGTAGGGTACGGGGGTCAGGTTAGGTAGTTAGGTTAGGTAGGGGGTAGATATATTTCTGTGGGGTTGATCTTCAGATGAATATGTAGCCCTGCAAGTGCTCACTTGAAGATTAACCCCCAAGTTTAACGAGCCTCATATTTAACCACCCTGAAACACTATTTTTTAATGGATGGGTTAATGTTCAGGTGATCTCTAATGGCTAAACTACATAATGGTGTAATTTGTGGTTTTTTATTTCAACTACAGCGGAACCTGTATTTAACGAATTACACGGGATAGTTACATCATTATATCAAGGTTTGTTAGATGTGAAACCTCCATATAATGAACTATACTCGGTAGGTGGAGAGTTTAACGCACACTATTAACTTATTCCAATGATTCAAGTCGATACCCCAAGACTAATTGATAGCTACACACACTACCCCATACCATTAACTGACACCCTAATCGACAGTGTTCGCCCGGTGGATGTCTCCTGGAGTTGTCCGTTCAGCTGGCTATCATCATGGTGGGCAAACAGGCCATGAACACCTGTATGGAGATGTTTATCCCTCTGCTGTGGAAGTGGTACAATATGCTGACCGTGCCGGAACATCAGCGCGAGGCTCACAACCGCTGGCCGCGTTGGGCGAAGGATTTCCGTCTGGTCAACTTCGATCCCCGCGGCCTCTTCCCCGAATACCTGGAGATGGGTGAGTTAATTTATTTCTTACTTATATGATAGCCCCAACCACCTAGTCTTAATTGGTGGTTGATCTAATAGCCCTCTGTCCTCATGGGTTGGGTTTAGTTGGGTTACATTAGGTTAGGTTGGGGGGTCCTACTCACACTAAGACTCGATAAACTTTTCACTTGTTGATGGATAAGTCAGAACCTTCCACTTGTACCATAGATGACTTGTCAGAACCTTCCACTTGTACCATAGATGACTTGTCAGAACCTTCCACTTGTACCATATATAACTTGTCAGAACCTTCCACTTGTACCATAGATGACTTCTCAGAACCTTCCACTTGTATCACAGATAACTTGTCAGAACCTTCCACTTGCACCACAGTTAATCACATACACTATAGAAGACTTGTCAGGGTTATCAAAGACACATTCATGGTGTGAATACCGGAGGAAAGTTGTGCTTATCCTGTCACCAGAGTACACAGCTCACTCGGTGGTGGGAGGAGGTCTTTAACACCAGCCAGTACACGAACTGCTACTCTGTCTATGCCAGCTCTTGTTTTTACCCCTCGACCGAATGTTCAGGGGGATTTATTAGTTGATCTTGTCTGTCTCTTCATCCACCCATCTGTCTGTCTGTCTGTTCATCCACCCATCTGTCTGTCTGTTCATCCACCCATCTGTCTGTCTGTTTATCCACCAATCTGTCTGTCCACACTTCAAGATATCAATTTACATAAAGACAATTCTTGGTTTAATTCATTGCTGGGATGCACAGTAGTGACGACGGTGATATTTATTAATTAAGGTCAGTCACGGTGGTTCTTTGTTTGCCTTTATTTGTACTGTAGTTGTCGAGAGTTTTCATCATCGCTGTTCTCGCCCACAACCCAAGATCCTGAAACAAGTACAGCACAAGGACACGTGGCCATCAAGTACAGCACAAGGACACGTGGCCATCAAGTACAGCACAAGGACACGTGGCCATCAAGTACAGCACAAGGACACGTGGCCATCAAGTACAGCACAAGGACACGTGGCCATCAAGTACAGCACAAGGACACGTGGCCAGCAAGGACACGTGGCCCAGTAAAACTACCATTTGTTTATCCGATGACCCGTGTTTGTAGCGAGGCAATAAGCTTTACTTCACGTACGGCGCAATAAAGATAACTATTGTATTTCGTTGGTCGTTCAGATTTTGGCAGACGATTTGATGTGGTGTCGTCAATCATCTCCTGGCACCAATTAAACTAACATTCAATGGTCATTTTCGGGAACCTAGTCGCCTCAACGATACATTTAGCTCCAAACGCGGCCTTGTTTAGGGCGTAAATTCAGGTAATAATATCGTGAATGATCTGCGGCTTGAGTGAGCAGCCACCTGTCTAGAGTATCAATGAGCCGTGGAAAAAGCAGTACCGTTTGACCACGTGTTGGTGTTCCCTACTGGAGGCAGACACATAGTTTATACCGAGGCTTAGTTACTGTTTGTTATGGTCCCTCACCCTTGTATCGTAGACTCATTCAAGCTCTATCCATGCTTATTTGTTATATAATTTTGTTTATTATGTTGTGTAAATAAAACTAGCTGATGAAATTATAAAACTCGGTGTAATAGACATTTTAGATTTATTTTTGGTTCATGATTTTTGTGTATGAACATTACTGGTACAGTGTTGCTGTTGTGAGCCTTGAGTAAGATCATTTGTCGATGTTAGACTTTATGTGTCACCTGAACATTAGCCCCCCCCCACCCCGCCCGCCCCCCAGAGAGTTTCAGGGTAGTTATACTTCAGGTAAGCACTTGGGGGTTAATCTTCAGGTGAGCACTTGGGGGTTAATCTTCAGGTGAGCACTTGGGGGTTAATCTTCAGGTGAGCACTTGGGGGTTAATCTTCAGGTGAGCACTTGGGGGTTAATCTACAGGTAAGCACTTGGGGGTTAATCTTCAGGTGAGCACTTGGGGTTAATCTACAGGTGAGCACTTGGGGTTAATCTACAGGTGAGCACTTGGGGGTTAATCTTCACAGGGGTTAATCTACAGGTGAGCACTTGGGGGTTAATCTTCAGGTGAGCACTTGGGGGTTAATCTACAGGTGAGCACTTGTGGGCTAAAAATACAAAAGATCTCGTTTGTAAGTCCTCGACAACAGCCCTGGCCAATCACTGGTCCGACGTACCATAACACAAACTTAACTCCGGGTTTCTACGACAGGTATGGGGCACCCGTTACTACCTATGGGCTGTAGACCAAGTTACCTAGACAGGGGTAAGCTAGTCGTGGTACTAGAGTGATATGACCGCTTGCCTTTAACCTTTCCCTGTGTTGATATTTGAGCTATATAGTCATACCTCAGTTTATAAAGGAGCTATATTAATTGTCCCTTAGTTTATATAATCATCCTTCAGTTTACAATGGAACTATATATAAATCCCTCTGTTTACAAAGGAGCTTAAAACAATCCCTATGTTTACAAAGGAGCTAAAATCATCCCTCTGTTTACAGTGGAACTATATAAATCTCTGTTTACAAAGGAGCTAAAAACATCCCTCTGTTTACAATGGAACTATATGTAAATCTCTCTGTTTACAAAGGAGCTAAAAAAATCCCTCTGTTCAAAATAAATCAGATTACCGTCCCTATATGTGAGGGTTTTTGACCACAGTCCTCCACTCTAATCGTTCTGGGGCTGTTTCTACCAAGCCTCTTAAGTTTGGGGATCTCTCTCGCAGTCCAGTTTTTAATTTCATTCATCCATCCTAGTCTTTGTCCTATCCTGGCCTTCAGATTTTCCCATTAATATTTCTGTTACCCCTCAATTTTCTTTTTCTTTACGTCTCAAGTATTTCTCTTGAAGTTTTTGCTAACCTTACTACTTCTTCATTTGTTTTCCTGTCAGTGTAGTTTATTAATATTCACCTATAACACAATTTTTCCAAAGGCTACCAACATCTTTCTGGTGTCTGCTCAAAGTGTCCATGTTTCTGACACATACATCAGTCATGGTCATATAAAATCTCTCAGAAGCCCATTTTCTCAAATTGAGGTTCATGTCCCCTCTCATTAGGTCTTTTAGATTATTAAATGCTGTTTTCCTCGACTTACTTTGTTTTGATTTCTTCAGTACATCGATCATCACAGGTAACGTTGCTTCCCAAATACACAAAATTTGTCCACTTGTTCCCTGTTGTCTACCATAATGTATATCTTAGGATTTATTTCCAATTTAGTAACAACCATTACCTTTGTCTTTACAGCATTACTTCTTAAACCATATTTTTCACCTTTTCCCACTAATCTGTTAACCAGTTATTGTAATGCCTCTTCACTATCTGTAATAAGAGCAGTATCTTCTACTTAGCGTATATATGATATTACTTTACCATTAACTTTAAAGAGTCCTTCATTATCACTTATAACTTCCTTCATTAAGAATTCTGAATATACTGTATATTATACAATGTGGGAGACAGAACACAGCCTCGTCTTACTCCCTGTCTAACTGTGAACCAATTAGTAAGTTTATTATTTACTAACACTGCAGCCTCCTATTGTCTGTAAAATTCTAATATTTTTTTCATTAATGCCTATTTTCCAAGATCATTATAAGTTTATTGTGTTTAACAACTTTTACCTTATCAAAAACTTTTCCAAAATTAAAAAGGCAGATGTATATATATGTCTGAGGATCTCGTAAACCCTTACACTCAAAATTCTCAAACCAAATAATAGCTTCAAGTTATTTTCCCCTTTGTTAATCCATTATACCTGTCAGTTCACAATATGGGGCTACAATACCATATTTTACAGCATATAAGACACATTTCTCCTGATAAATGGCTCAAAAATCCTCCTGTCTCCTATATGTTAAGCTGTGGTCTCCTGTAAGCTGATGAATCCTCCAGTTGGTGTCTCCAGTAGGATTAATTCTACCTAACACAACTCTAGAATAATAAATTTGTTATTGCTTACTTAAATGTTATTATTAGTTTTATTTAACGAAAAAATAATTATTGTAAATATAAAAGCTGGGTTTATAACGATTGTTGTTAGCCCGAGGTGATTAACGTCCGTACGGCAGACACCCAACTCTTCAGAGGCAGCTAAGCAGTGACCATTTCTGAACTCTTACAAGCATTACAATCTATTAATGCCATACCTGCAACATTTATTTTTATTATTTATTAGGTTAGATTAAGGTTAGGTTATGTTATGTTAGGTGAAGTAAGGTGATTGTGTTTTTTTTTTGGGGGGGGTAATTAGTGTTAAAAGCTCTTGGGATTTGCTCAACATCTCATGGATAAGAAATAAATTATTACTTTACCATAAAAAATCTGGAAAAATTTAGTCATTGCAGAAATATGATTGACCCAGGGTTTTTTAAGCTGCATTTTGATTGGTCAGCCATCATAGGTCCCTTCTGTACAGGGTGTGTCATAGGTCCCTTCTGTACAGGGTGTGTCATAGGTCCCTCCTGTATAGGGTGTGTCACAGGTCCCTTCTGTACAGGGTGTGTCATAGGTCCCTTCTGTACAGGGGTGTGTCATCAAGTCCCTTCTGTACAGGGTGTGTCATAGGTCCCTTCTTGTACAGGGTGTGTCACCGTCCCTTCTGTACAGGGGTGTCATAGGTCCCTTTTGTACTGGGTGTGTCAAAGGTCCCTTCTGTACAGGGTGTGTCATAGGTTCCTTCTGTACAGGGTGTGTCATAGGTCCCTTCTGTACAGGGTGTGTCACAGGTCCCTTCTGTACAGGGTGTGTCACAGGTCCCTTCTGTACAGGGTGTGTCATAGGTCCCTTCTGTACAGGGTGTGTCATAGGTTCCTTCTGTACAGGGTGTGTCATAGGTCCCTTCTGTACAGGGTGTGTCATAGGCCTTTAGAGAGTTCATTGTGCCGTACTTAAACAAAACGCGTCTACCTCTGGTTCAGATCAAGCAAGACAGGACTTACACCAGTATCCAACATGCTGACAGACGTACAGTACCACCAAATCCACACGAAAACAAACACTGTCGCAGAGTCGGAACTTTGACATAACTATACATACTCTGATACAGTAACCTCAAGATGCGAATTACACGAAAGCGCTCGAGGAACTTGTGTGTTGTTATCATCATATATACAAGGGTCACGCATATTTATAAACTATGTTGGAGACAGCCTCAGAAGACTCCCTGTACCTGCAGAATAACAAGATGGTGCCTGGTTGGCCAAACTCTATGTATGGCTTTACCTCTTAGTACAGTATTGGATTGTTATAACGTCATGAAACTCTAAGCATCTCAGTACAGTATCTCTAACTTTTGTAAACAGTAATCCCGTGTTTTTCGCATGGTTTTTTTATCGCAGATTTGATCATTCGCTGTTTATTTTACTAAAAAATTATATATATATATATATATATATATATATATATATATATATATATATATATATATATATATATATATATATATATATATATATATATATATATATATATATATATATATATATATATATATATATATATATATATATATATATATATATATATATATATATATATATATATATATATATATATATATCCTTTAAAAACAAAAATTTAAATTTTGCGCCATTTTCGATATTCCCCCTGTGAGGTGCGGCAAACAGATGCCACCCTTTCCCGCCTCAGACACCCGCTGCTCCGAGAAGCCTCAGTCCACACCTGCCTACCGTACTGTGATTGCCTCTTCTGTTTGTCCTTCCACGTGCATTCCACATGGCTCCGGGACGTAAGCCAGCCTCATCAAAGGCAAATATTACTAGCAAAGACTCTAAAGTGACCAAGAGATCAAGAATAGTGACGACCTTAACGGAAAAACAGTTTTATTGGACATTTTTTGTATATCACTGTGATTACGTTTTTCCATTATTATACTACAATATGATTAGTTTCAAATAATGATGTTAGTAAATGCCGGTACAGTGCATCAGTGACCAGTGGGCCATGAGTGGCGAGCATGGCGTGGTTAAGTGCATGACCTACTTGAGCTGTTTGGTGGCCACAGTCATTCCTAAAAGAGTATCCGAGCTTTTGGCTTTTCACGGGGGTTTCAGGAACGTAATTCCAGCCAAAAACACGGGATTACTTTATAACATTGGCCCTGAGCGTTTCTCTACCTGGAATATGTGATTATTTTTTTACTTTTTCCTCTTGAAGTTAAGCCTCATTAAAATTATTTCAATTATTTAGTTTATCTTTAAAATGGAATTAGTTTGTTGGTATTAATAACTGGACTTTGATAATTAATAAATAAGTTAAGGCAAATTGTTTCTGTGTTTATATGACTAGTAATTACGATTCTTTATTGTGGAACCTCCATATAGCGGACTTCTCTTCCCGGAACCTCGATATAACGGACTTTCATCGGGTGTTTATTGTGATCCTTGTTTGTTTACAGTGTTACAGTACGGCTTCGTAACGATCTTCGTGTCATCGTTCCCGCTGGCTCCTTTCTTCGCCTTCCTCAACAATGTGTTCGAGATGCGCCTCGATGCCAAGAAGCTCCTGACGCATTTCCGGCGGCCGATACCCCAGCGGGTTAAAGACATCGGCATTTGGTTCAAGATCCTCGACTCCATCGGAAAATTCGCCGTCATCACCAATGTGAGTTTGGGCTTCTATCTTTTGAACCATTGATGTAAAAAATAAATAAATGACATTATTCTTATTTTAAATCTTTATGGTTCACCTGAGTATTAGCCCCCCCCCACCCTCATCCCTCCCACCCAGATAGTTAGTGGTTAAATTAGGGGTGACTTCGGGTGAGCACTTGAGGGAGTTAATCTTCAGGTGATCCACAAGGGCTAAAATCATGAATAATCTTGATGGCATAACACTCTTAGCCCCTACGTCATACATCATTGTTCATCTACGTATAATACCTCCCTTAGCCACCCCTCCATCCCATGAATATATATATTTGACTCTATTTAGAATTACTTTAGGGAGCCATATTTAATTTCTCTAACTCACTCTTTTTAATTGATCTTAAGTGGGAAATTAATCTGTCTGTCTCTCTCTCTCTCTCTCTCTCTCTCTCTCTCTCTCTCTCTCTCTTTTTAGTGGGAAATAATCTGTCTCTCTTAAATAATCCCTCAGTGGGAAATAATATCTCTCAGTAGGAACTTATCTCTCTACCACCCCCCCCCATACCAGGCATTCATCATCGCGTTCACCTCCAACTTCATCCCAGAACTCGTCTACCGTCACGTGGTGTCCGACAACAACTCCCTAGAGGGGTTCCTGAACCACTCTCTGGCGTACTTCGACGTCAACGACTACCCAGAAAAATATCGGCCAAGCTTTATTAACGGCACAATGTCTTGCAGGTACGTCCATCGCCTTCCTTTACCTCCCCCCCCCCTCACCCCCCTAAGATAGTTTCAGGGTGGTTAAACTGGGGGTGACTACAGATGAGTACTTGGGGGTTAATCTACAGGTGAGTACTTGGGGGTTGTCTACAGGTGAGAGTGCTTGGGGTTAATCTACAGGTGAGTACTTGGGGTTAATCCTGAGTGAGCACTTGGGGTTAATCTGGGTGAGCACTTGGGGTTAATCTACAGGTGAGCACTTGGGGTTAATCTTCAGGTGAGCACTTGAGGTTAATCTGGTGTGAGCACTTGGGGTTAATCTACAGGTGAGCACTTGGGGTTAATCTTCAGGTGTTGGGGGTTAATCTACAGGTGAGCACTTGAGGTTAATCTTCAGGTGAGCACTTGGGGAGTTGTCTTCAGGTGAGCACTTGGGGTTAATCTTCAGGTGAGCACTTGGGGGTTAATCTTCAGGTGAGCACTTGGGGGTTAATCTTCAGGTGAGCACTTGGGGGTTAATCTTCAGGTGAGCACTTGGGGGTTAATCTTCAGGTAACCACTTGGGGGTTAATCTTCAGGTGAGCACTTGGGGGGTTAATCTTCAGATGAGCACTTGGGGTTAATCTTCAGAGTGAGCACTTGGGGTTATCTTCAGGTGAGCATAGGAGTTGTCTGAGTGAGCACTTGGGGTTAATCTTCAGGTGACGCAGGGGAGTTAATCTTCAGGTGAGCACTTAGGGGTTAATCTACAGGTGAGCACTTGGGGGTTAATCTACAGGTGAGCACTTGGGGGTTAATCTACAGGTGAGCACTTGGGGGTTAATCTTCAGGTGAGGACTTGGGGGTTAATCTTCAGGTGAGGACTTGGGGGTTAATCTTCAGGTGAGCACTTGGGGGTTAATCTTCAGGTGAGCACTTGGGGGTTAATCTTCAAGTGATTCATAAACACTAGAATTATTAACGGTGTTATTTGAGGTCTCGACTACATCAACAATACGGTTTTAACTTCACAACATCATCTTTTCCAGGTACCCAGATTATCGTAACCCACCGGGGACTCTTGAAGAATACAAATATGCACCAATATTCTGGCATATTCTCGCGGCAAGGCTGGCATTCGTTGTTGTATTCGAGGTACGGACTGTTTGTTATTGTGTTTATTGACCCGATATTTTAATAATGTTTTTTTTAGTCATAATTACACCACTGATGTTGCTTGGTGTTAGTGCAGTAATGGAGGAAATCAGAGTCCCTGGATAAAACGTGCCCTGTTTGGTAGTAAGGTCCATAGTCCCTGGATAAAACGTGCCCTGTTTGGTAGTAAGGTCCATAGTCCCTGGATAAAACGTGCCCTGTTTGGTAGTAAGGTCCATAGTCCCTGGATAAAACGTGCCCTGTTTGGTAGTAAGGGTCATAGTCCCTGGATAAAACGTGCCCTGTTTGGTAGTAAGGGTCATAATCCCTGGATAAAACGTGCCCTGTTTGATAGTAAGGGTCATAGTCCCTGGATAAAACGTGCCCTGTTTGGTAGTAAGGGTCACAGGTCAGGACTAGAACCCAAGACACAGTGATAAGAGATATCTCACATCATCACTATCCTACCTACACCAACCTCATGTTACCTGGTGACCTCCTGCCTCATGTTACCTGGTGACCTGCTGCCTCATGTTACCTGGTGACCTCCTACAGTGACAAGGGACGATGGTAATGATAAATTAAACAACAGACCAACCGTTTAAACTGATATGTAATAAGAAATAAAGTAAATATTTATGGTGTGTGTGTGTGTGTGTGTGTGTGTGCGTGTGTGTGCGTGTGTGTGCGTGTGTGTGTGTGTGTGTGTGCGTGCGTGCGTGCGTGCGTGAAATTAATATTCGCTCATATGATTCCTAACCACAATGTTTTTGGCATTTTCTTCTCGGCTAATCCAACCTAACCCAACCTAACCTGACCTGACCTAACCTGACCCCATTAGTAATACTGTTGTTTACTTTACAGAATGTGGTGTGCGTGATTATAATGTTCATCAAATGGATAATCCCCGATATGCCTTTCCGACTACAGGTAAGTTATCCGAGTTCTTTGTTTACGTGACATGACCCAGGGAAAAGGTCAACTAACGGCAGAAATACGGAAAAAATTAAGAAAAATGTAGAGTAACGGAGAATTTTGTAGATAATGTTACAGATTATACCACACTGTTATGATGGGAGTTTATGCTGTAACTAATTAGATAAAGCTTAAGGTGGAATAAGCTGGGGGGGCTAATATTAAGGTGAGATAAGCTTAGGTCTAGTTCTTAAGGTGAAATAAGCTGGGGCTAATCTTAAAATGAGATAAGCTTGAGAGGTAATCTTAAGATGAAATAAGCTGGGGGGCTAATATTCAGGTAAGATAAGCTTGGAGAGTAATCTTTAGGAGAAATAGACAGGTGAAATAAGCTTTGGGGGGAGGGGGGCTAAAGTTCAGGTGACCCTATACACCTTTACTCTGTTTAACCTTCGACCACAACAATGTACAGTTCTATACAGCTCCTCCCCGACCTACGACTTGCCTCAGCCGTACCAAAATTTTGTCAAATTACGTATTTCCGAGTCCCAACGTCAGTACACAGACAAAATTTTTGTTTGTAATTCACTTTAAAATAGCTGGCAAGCTTAAAAGTGAGAGTTTTGTGGTGCTGAGAAGAAAAAGAGACACCCATTTTAGATTTTCTGTGTATTATTTAAGCATTTTCGACTTAGGACCTGGATTTGGGTCCCTAACCCCGGCGTAAGTCGGGGAGGAACTGTGTATATGAACGGCAGAAACACAGAGAAGCGTACGTCACTAACGGTGTTTTTATTTACAGGAACAAATCCGCAGAGAAGCGTACGTCACCAATGAACTGATCGTGGAACAAGAGTTACGTCGGGCTCGAGGAGACACGGAAAATACCTCCAGTTCCTCTCCCGTGCGGTCGCCACTACGTCGGATGTACTCGGAGCCGGCGAGATCGAAGAACGGCCACGACGTCAGATTCCGTATAAATGGCGACAACGAAGAATTCCCCACTAGTGTCTGAGTGTGAGGGCCGAGATCACAAGTGCCTGAAGGTTGAAACAAAGCCCATGTGGTGTAGTGGGGGGCAGGGGGGTGTAGCCCAGACCGTGGACTACGATAATACTTGTTAATTATAGCCTTGTACGGATCGCCTGAACATTAGCACCCACCCACCCACCCCACCTCACCCACCCTACCCACCCAGATAGTTCAGGGTGGTTAAACTAGCATGGGAGGGGGACTCTACAGGTGAGCACTTGGGGGTTAATCTACAGGTGAGCACTTGGGAGCAGGTGAGCACTTGGGGGTTAATGTACAGGTGAGCACTTGGGGTTAATCTACAGGTGAGCACTTGGGGGTTAATCTACAGGTGAGCACTTGGGGGTTAATCACAGGTGAGCCTTGGGGGTTAATCTACAGGTGAGCTCTTGGGGGTTAATGTACAGGTGAGCACTTGGGGGTTAATCTTCAGGTGAGCACTGGGGGTTAATGTACAGGTGAGCACTTGGGGGTTAATCTACAGGTGAGCACTTGGGGGTTAATGTACGGGTGAGCACTTGGGGGTTAATCTACAGTTGAGCACTTGGGAGGGGCGGGGATAATCTTCAGGTGATTCATAAAAGATAAAGATAACAACTCGCATCGTTCATGGTCTTAACCACGGCTACACCAACCCACTAAGAGATCAAATGAGATTCCATCGACACAAAACAGTTGGTATTACGATCAACCGGAAATTTTTAATATACTTATTTTATAACTTTTAATGGAATAGTTTTTAAGTTAGTGATTTTTTTTTGTATTATTATATTGTAGGTTTTTTAAGAGATAATTGAAATATCTTGTACATAATGGAGAAAAATGATATTCACTCTGTTTATGTTAATTTTTGCTCTGGTCACAAGTGGATATGATTGGTCACAAGTGGATATGATTGGTCACAAGTGGATATGTTTGGTCACAAGTGGATATGTTTGGTCACAAGTGGATATGTTTGGTCACAAGTGGATATGTTTGGTCACAAGTGGATATGATTGGTCACAAGTGGATATGTTTGGTCACAAGTGGATATGTTTGGTCACAAGTGGATATGTTTGGTCACAAGTGGATATGTTTGGTCACAAGTGGATATGTTTGGTCACAAGTGGATATGATTGGTCACAAGTGGATATGTTTGGTCACAAGTGGATATGTTTGGTCACAAGTGGATGTTTGGTCACAAGTGGATATGATTGGTCACAAGTGGATATGTTTGGTCACAAGTGGATATGTTTGGTCACAAGTGGATAAGATTGGTTAATAATGGTAACAAGATATTTCTACAAGATTGGTCAGTTAAATCAAACTCTAGTGATTGTTTGACTGTAATTGCCTTGTTAGGAATGGAAACTGTTCTACCAATCACAAGACAGCTACCATATCTGACTTACTTTTTATATTGGTAAAGTGTGTGCGTGTGTGTGGGTATGAGTGTGGATGTCTGTGTATGTGGATGTCTGTGTATGTGAATGGATATTTTTGTGTGTGGCTATAATTTTAATCGGGGAAGTAACCCGTAGTGACTAACATGATCTAACAAACATAAACTGACTTCACCCATAACTTTGACTTCACCCATAACTTTGACTTCACCCATTAACTTTGACTTCACCCATGACTTTGACTTCACCCATAACTTTGACTTCACCCATTAACACACTCGGTTTTGCTCATTCAAACTAATAAAGAAAATAATAATAATATATAAATGTGATTGAGGCAAATTTACTTAATTAGACACTTCATACTTAACTATAGCGCTAATTAAACTCTAGAGACGTAACTACTTGATTACAGGCAGCTCTTGTTTTACGAACGAGTGAGTATCTAAGTCAAAACACATAACGTACTTACAGAACAATGATTAAAAATCCCAATGTTTAAGAATAGAATAACAAGATACAGAAAAATTAAGTAAAAAATTAGTCATCTTGTAGATAAAATACCGTAAGTGTAATAGAATTGTTCGTATCGGCGGCTGTTTGCAAGTCGGTCGTTCGTAACCCGGGGACTACCTGTGTAACGATCATTATGGTAGTTTCATGTTTAACGACATAAGTTCCTACATTGGATCTCTGAGTACAGTCATGAACCACAAGGTAATGTGTGTCTTGAGTTATGATGCTAAATTTACACTTAAGTGGCCATCGTAAGTGGTGTGTTATCGTGTATGGTGTGGCTATCATGCATGGTGTGGTTACTGTACACGGTGTGGTTAGTGTACAGTGTGTGTGTGGTACAAAATGTTGGTTGACTGTCAGAATGTAAGGAAGAAGCACGTGATGCGTTTGTGATGCATTTGTGCTGCTTTTGTGATGTGTTGTATTATACTGTACACTACAGGCCTTTGTATTTTATAATTATATTTAGTAATGCAGTTTTATTCATGTTACATGAGTAGTAGTTAGATTACGTGAGGCGATCGACACGAGAACTAATCATTCGTAGTTCCAGCCTATATGGATTACCCTGAACCTTAGGCCTCCTCCTCCCCCTCCACCCCCACCAGATAGCATGGGGGGTGCTTAAGCCAGGGGGAGAAAGAGAGGGAGGGGGGAGGGGGGTTAAGTTAGTTGATTGATAAAGACTAGAATTATGATTGATTTTGTTCCTCAATTACTTCACTACTGTAAATAAAATCTAAGCCTTTACTTAGTGGGGAAGATAGAGTATAGGGTCTGACATCCCTTGTGCAAAGTAAGTGTAAAAGTTTATAATATTTGTAAAACTGTTAATACTTTCAAACTATATTAACTTCTTGGTTCTTTAGTGATGTGTATACTTTTGTAGTCGTTCTCTAGTTAATGAACGTTGAGATTTATATGTAGGTTTTGTGTCAGGAGGAGACTTTATCAGTGCAATATGTTGTTTTGTCACTGTCCCACAAACAGTTCAAGAGGTTTTGAGTTGTGCAATATTGCTTACTGTCCTTTTTGTCATGGCTTCCAATATGCAAATGCTTACTTTAATATTAAGGCTTTGTGATGTTTTAAGATACCATTAAGATTAATAGTTTCTATAGAGTACAATTAAGTGAAATATTAATCACACAAATTTTAAATATTTTTGGAAATCACGTAATTTTTTTGATGCAGCGTCGAGATCATCTGTATTGAGCTGTGATGGAGTCCAGACAGAGTGATACCATTGACAGTACTATAATTCATGGGGCACCTGAGTATTGGCACCTCCCAGATCATTTGATGGTGGTAAAGCTGGGGGTGTCTGCAGGTGAGCACTTGGGGGTTAATCTTCAGGTGAGCACTTGGGGGTTAATCTTCAGGTGAGCACTTGGGGGTTAATCTTCAGGTGAGCACTTGGGGGTTAATCTTCAGGTGAGCACTTGGGGGAACTAATCTTCAGGTGAGCACTTGGGGGTAATCTTCAGGTGAGCACTTGGGGGAACTAATCTTCAGGTGAGCACTTGGGGGAACTAATCTTCAGGTGAGCATAATGGCTAAAATTATGAATGTTTCTCTTCATAGTGTGGACTACATTACTGCTGTCTTGTATTATGTGTAGAGTGAAATGAAGAGCTGAAACACTGTGTAAATGATTAGATTAAAGGGTAACTAAAGTGTGTGAGCGTGAAGGGAGGCACTGTACTACCACCAATGAGTGTCTGAATCACCAAGGACTTAATATAGGGAGGGAAACGGAAGCATAAATTAGATAGATACATAAGAAATATTTTCACCCAAAAACTCACATGGGTTTAGTATTTATATAAACAGTATAGGCCAAAAATGGGAGGTAGGAAGGCGGAATGTAATGACGGTGGTCATCATCAGTGGTAGTTAGCTGTAGGGACGGTGGTCATCATCAGTGGTAGTTAGCTGTAGGGACGGTGGTCATCATCAGTGGTAGTTAGCTGTAGGGACGGTGGTCATCATCAGTGGTAGTTAGCTGTAGGGACGGTGGTCATTATCAGTGGTAGTTAGCTGTAGGGACGGTGGTCATCATCAGTGGTAGTTAGCTGTAGGAACGGTGGTCAATGGAAGCAGGGAGGGTGGGATGCGAGGCAGGTAGAGGCTCCTTAGCTATTGGTTAGGATAAAGCATTCACGACGGATAATTTCCCCGTACGTGTGACCGAGTAATCCAGTAATATCGAGAGCCGGAGGGAACCGACCATTCTTTAATCCGGTCTCATTGCATCCGACTTAATCATCCACGACTAGAGGTGACGGCAAACACAAGTCATTATTGTTTTCAAGTATTATTCATCGCAAGAGTCAAGTTCTGTTCGTTGTTTCCTAATTCCTTTTTATTTACCGAGTTATGATTTTGTTGTTAATCGAGGATATTTATTATTTTCTACGGTGGAAGGTGAGGCTGTTGACAAGGACGTGAGTTGATATTTTTATGGGAACTGTAAGAGAACGAGAATCTTGATGTTGTGTCTCATGATGACAGATAATTCAAGGAGCCTCGAGAAACCTAACCTAATTTAACCTAACCTAAATCTAACCATAACCTACACCTAACCTAAACCTAACCAAACCTAACCTAACCTAACCAAGAAAGAACACAAAGAAGCACAATTTTCTTAGCCATCGTGATATACAAAGCGGTCTAGATTTATGCGTATGATTAGCCTCAGCATTTAATCCTTCACCCTGGCACTTAACCCAGAACCATTAATCCTACCCAGGGGTCATCAAACTATGGCCCGCGGGCCGGATCTGGCCCGCGACGTCAGTTCATCAGGCCCGCCGACGGTGCTTGAATTTGCTTTGTTTGAGATTTGGATATGTGCACACTAGGTCTGATGTAACTATCTTTTTGCTAACGTCGCCTTCTTTGATAACTTTTTAGTAAATAAATATGTTGGTTGTCTTTGTTTTTTGTGCATTGCACGCCACTCACCCATGATTAACATGGAATGCTAAACTTAGTTTTTCGTCTTTTTTCCCAGAGCTTTCGTTCTGGCTTGCAAGTATTGAACAGAATGATTATGCGGCCCGCGCTCGTCATTCTTTCAGTTATCCGGCCCACTGTGAAAAAAGTTTGGTAACCCCTGATCTAACCTAACCTCACAAAACCTAACCTAGCCTAGCCTACCCTAACCTAACCTTACCTACCCTACCCTAACCTACCCTAGTCTAACCTACCCTAACCTTAAGTGCTGATAAGTATTTGTTAAAATTATGTGCCTTATTATGACTTAAAAGCCAGAGACTGTAAGAGTAAGGAATGTGTACTAGTGACAGTTACTGGAACCTAACCTAACCCTACCCTTCCCTAGCCTATCCTAACCTAACCTAACCCTACTCTACCCTACCCTGAGATAGCCCTAGGATAAAACACCTTCCGGGAAAATAATCGATGGTGACTAATCTTAGAGCGATTGCATTATTATCGAACACACTATTTACGTTGGCTAGGAACATCGACGTGAACAACCCCCCAAATTAATCTAGTCGGTGATGTGTTACAAGAGTAGATATTAATGGAGTTTCATTAGGGTTTATTTACGGTAAAACCTCTCGAACGGACTTCTTGCTCCATATAATCCGTTAGTTAGGGGTTTCACATCTAACGGACCCTCGATATAATGGACTTTCATCTCTATATAGTTCATTAGATGGAGGTTTCACATCTAACGGACCCTCGATATAATGGACTTTCATCTCTATATAGTTCATTAGATGGAGGTTTCACATCTAACGGACCCTCGATATAATGGACTTTCATCTCTATATAGTTCATTAGATGGAGGTTTCACATCTAACAGACCCTCGATATAATGGACTTTCATCTCTATATAGTTCATTAGATGGAGGTTTCACATCTAACGGACCCTCGATATAATGGACTTTCATCTCTATATAGTTCATTAGATGGAGGTTTCACATCTAACAGACCCTCGATATAATGGACTTTCATCTCTATATAGTTCATTAGATGGAGGTTTAACTGTAGATTAGATCATGGAGCGGTTAATCTGAATCTAGTATTAGTGCGGAAATATCCTTTGAGTGTCTTATGAATGCTCTACTGGAGACTGTGGGTTAGGTTGGGTTGGGTTGGGTTAGGTTAGGTTAGGTTAGGTTAGGTTAGGTTAGGTTAGGTTAGGTTGGGTTTGGTTGGGTTAGGTTATTGTTATTATCTGGTGCTATTTTAAATAATATTAGAGTGTTTATTATAAGAAATTTATTAATCTATTGAGCAGCTAATGTAAAGCCTAGCATAGGATAAGTAATTGGTGTCACCTCAAAATTGACCTGACCTAACTTAATCTAACCTAACTTCACCATAACCTGACTTCACCATAACCTGCCTTCACCATAACCTGACTTCACCATAAAATAACCTAACCTAACCCTCCCCCCCCCAAGTAATAATAATGAGAACAACATGTAGATAAAATAAACCGAGGCGTCTGATCTGATGTCCGTAAGATAACAAATTACTAACTAACTGCAGCTAAAGTCCTCATATGCAAATTAACATGTACTTAATGTAATAAATAATTCCTATTAAATTATGACTAGTAGATGTTTATGGTGGTCGTCCGTGCACAAAATCCGGAACGGGTGGTGGAAGGTATCACAATAAGCGGTAGTTACTTAAAATTGTTTCTTCCTTTGGGGTTATAAGGTGACAGACTTAAACCACACTTATAAAGCTGCTTCTCTACTTACGAATAACTTATGTTCCTGAATCTTGTTTGTAAGTTAGTTTTAATTATGAGAGTCCATTGGTTCTTGAGTATTTTTTGTAAGTGTTTGGTCGTAAGTCCTTTTTTTTTTTGTAAGTGTTTGTTCGTGAGTCAATTAATTTGCGAGTGTATGTTTTTGTGAGTCCATTGGTTTCTAAGTCAATTTATTCGTGAGTATGTGTTCGTACGTCCATCTGTTCATGAGTCAAATTATTCGTAAGTCAATTTATTCGCGAGTCGATATATTCCTAAGTCTATGTGTTCGTACGTCCATCTGTTCATGAGTCAAATTATTCGTAAGTCAATTTATTCGCGAGTCGATATATTCCTAAGTCAATGTGTTCATAAGTCCATCCTCTTATACCCTCACAAAAAGATTAACATGCACTTCAATGGGGTTAAGTCACACTGGACCAAGAAATCCGGAGACGCTAACTCCAGATTCTGTGACTGTTCATTGTGGATGGCTTCACAAGAGCTGTACTGAATGATAATCTGGACTATATCTCATATTCTACGCCACACTAGGCATACTATCCACAAACACTATTTTAATATACAGTGCGGATAGTTAATTGCACGGACGGATTCGCTCGCACGTCTGAAAATCCGTAAGTTGAGGAGAGGTTTGCGTGTATTTTATTAATTTTATGTTGAATTTAGATATTTATCCTGTTATGGGGTATGTGTGTTTATGCTTTGCGTCCTAGATATTCTGCGAGACTAAGGTTACTGTATGGTGTTAAGGTTGCCAGTTACTGTATTATTTGTCTTTTGTATTTACCGACATGGAGGGAAATGAATCGGAGCTGGAGTGCACGTGTATTGTTTATTTGTTTGTAAATATTGCTTCGCCACTTTTGTTGTTGTCGAAACCACAAACTACACCATTTATTTATTTATTTTTTTTAGATTTCACGGTTTAACTGAACATTAACCCCCCCCTAGATAGTTTCAGGGGGGTTAATCTACAGGTGAGCACTTGGGGGTTAATCTACAGGTGAGCACTTGGGGGTTAATCTACAGGTGAGCACTTGGGGGTTAATCTTCAGGTGAGCACTTGGGGGTTAATCTATAGGTGAGCACTTGGGGTTAATCTACAGGTGAGCACTTGGGGGTTAATCTACAGGTGAGCACTTGGGGGTTAATCTACAGGTGAGCACTTGGGGGTTAATCTTCAGGTGAGCACTTGGGGGTTAATCTATAGGTGAGCACTTGGGGGAACTAATCTCTAGGTGATCTATAAGACTAACATTATAAATGGTCCCATATGAAGAAGTAAACTCATCACTGTCACACACACACACACACACACACACACACACACACACACACACACTAAAGGCGTCACAATTACTTTATGGCAACACCTGTAAACTCCAAGTGGCGTGTAGTACCTGATGGACGACTTTCACCAACAACAAGATAACCTGGCAACTGCATATCCGCTTATTTGGTCTTGGATATCCGCTTATTTGGTCTTGGATATCCGCTTATTTGGACTTGGATATCCGCTTATTTTGATAGTTTCTTTTCTCTTTATCGACTTTTACTTCCACATATTCACATAAATTTAGTTGAATTTATTTTTAAATTGGGAAAATGACAATATTTGTATTTATATTTTAAATAAATAAATAAAAAGACTTTACTGTATTTATAGATATTCACTTGTTTAAATATAGCCATTATTGTTTACATAGAATCAATTTGTTTGCAGAATCATTTTGTTTATATAGCACAACGTTGGCTCTGTTTACACCTGTTAGAAACCATAAATTATTCACTCGACACTAACTGATCAAAAATGTCCGTCAGAATGATAGTATGTTTGGTGTGTGTGTAGTAACGCACTCTAACATGGCCGGCAGTATGTTTGGTGTGTGTGTAGTAACGCACTCTAACATGGCCAGCAGTATGTTTGGTGTGTGTAGTAACGCACTCTAACATGGCCGGCAGTGTGTTTGGTGTGTGTAGTAACGCACTCTAACATGGCCGGCAGTATGTTTGGTGTGTGTGTAGTAACGCACTCTAACATGGCCAGCAGTATGTTTGGTGTGTGTAGTAACGCACTCTAAACCTAAACATGGCAGCTTCCGTCCCCACAGCTGTTTATCATTTTTCATTTTTTTTTAAACTTTTACGACATTTTGTATATCTTAGATTTCTGTATAAATGATAACTGATGCTAATGTGTGTTATCTAACTTCAAAATCAATAAATGGACTGATATCTGATACCAACGTGTTATATTACCTTCTAAATTAATAAATGAAATCAACTGTTGCTTAAATATAAACTATAAATACAAAAAAAAATTCCAACTATAATACAAATATCGAAAAAAAAACCAATTACAAAATTAACAAATAAATCGTTAATTTCACCATACAAAATAAGATACTTTTCTATAATTGTATAACATTTGGAACATATTACCATTTTTATTTTCATTGTATTATTAAATTTGTTTGATATTTTAGTTTTTTCAGTGGTAGACTCTTTAAATTCAGTTCCTCATAGTGTGTTTTGATGGTAGCTTCATGGTTTCACTGCACAGACCTGAAATTTTAATCTCCAGTCATTTCTACAGCTTAGACAGTAGGTTAACCAGTTAGCCAGTCAAATATATCAAGAATTACAGTTAACCAGTCAAATATATCAAGAAGTACAGTTAACCAGTCAAATATATCAAGAATTACAGTTTATCCAGTCAAATGCATCAAGAATTACAGTTAGCCAGTCAAATACATTAAGAATTACAGTTAACCAGTCAAATATGTCAAGAATTACAGTTTATCCAGTCAAATATATCAAGAATTACAGTTTATCCAGTCAAATATATCAAGAATTACAGTTAACCAGTCAAATATATCAAGAATTACAGTATCCAGTCAAATACATTAAGAATTACAGTTAACCAGTCAAATATATCAAGAATTACAGTTAACCAGTCAAATATATCAAGAATTACAGTTAACCAGTCAAATATATCAAGAATACAGTTAACCAGTCAAATATATCAAGAATTACAGTTTATCCAGTCAAATGCATCAAGAATTACAGTTAGCCAGTCAAATACATTAAGAATTACAGTTAACCAGTCAAATATGTCAAGAATTACAGTTTATCCAGTCAAATATATCAAGAATTACAGTTTATCCAGTCAAATATATCAAGAATTACAGTTAACCAGTCAAATATATCAAGAATTACAGTATCCAGTCAAATACATTAAGAATTACAGTTAACCAGTCAAATATATCAAGAATTACAGTTAACCAGTCAAATATATCAAGAATTACAGTTTATCCAGTCAAATACATCAAGAATTACAGTTAACCAGTCAAATATATCAAGAATTACAGTTTATCCAGTCAAATATGTCAAGAATTACAGTTTATCCAGTCAAATATATCAAGAATTACAGTTTATCCAGTCAAATACATTAAGAATTACAGTTAACCAGTCAAATATATCAAGAATTACAGTTTATCCAGTCAAATATATCAAGAATTACAGTTTATCCAGTCAAATATATCAAGAATTACAGTTAAACAGTCAATTATATCAAGAATTACAGTTTAATCAGTCAGATATGTCAAGAATTACAGTTTAACCAGTCAAATATATCAAGAATTACAGTTTAATCAGTCAAATATATCAAGAATTACAGTTAACAGTCAAATACATCAAGAATTACAGTTAACCAGTCAAATACATCAAGAATTACAGTTTAACCAGTCAAATATATCAAGAATTACAGTTAACCAGTCAAATATATCAAGAATAACTGTTAACCAATCAAATATATCAAGAATTAGTTAACCAGTCAAATATATCAAGAATTACAGTTAAACCAGTCAAATATATCAAGAATTACAGTTAAACCAGTCAAATACATCAAGAATTACAGTTACCCAGTCAAATATATCAAGAATTACAGTTAACCAGTCAAATATATCAAGAATTACAGTTAAACCAGTCAAATACATCAAGAATTACAGTTAACCAGTCAAATACATCAAGAATTACAGTTAACCAGACAAATAAATCAAGAATTACAGTTTACCAGTCAAATACATCAAGAATTACAGTTAACCAGTCAAATATATCAAGAATTACAGTTAACCAGTCAAATACATCAAGAATTACAGTTAAACCAGTCAAATATATCAAGAATTACAGTTAAACTAGTCAAATATATCAAGAATTACAGTTAGACATTCAAATACATCAAGAATTACAGTTAGCCAGTCAAATATATCAAGAATTACAGTTAAACCAGACAAATATATCAAGAATTACAGTTAAACCAGTCAAATATATCAAGAATTACAGTTAGCCAGTCAAATACATCAAGAATTACAGTTAGCCAGTCAAATATATCAAGAATTACAGTTAAACCAGTCAAATATATCAAGAATTACAGTTAAACCAGTCAAATACATCAAGAATTACAGTTTAACCAGTCAAATACATCAAGAATTACAGTTAAACCAGTCAAATATATCAAGAATTACAGTTAACCAGTCAAATACATCAAGAATTACAGTTTAACCAGTCAAATACATCAAGAATTACTGCGGTTCCTTCAGTCCAAATACATCAAATTTTTGGTTAAACCAGTCAAATATATCAAATTACAGTTAAACCAGTCAAATATATCAAAAGAATTGCAGTTAAACCGGTCAAATATGTCAGAATTACAGTTATTGATCCAAATGCATCAGAATTTTGGTTAATGATCAAATATATCAGAGTACAGTTGACAGTCAAATATATCCAAGAATTACGAGTTAAAACCAGTCAAATACATCCAGAATTTTGGTTTAACCAGTCCAAATACATCAAGAATTACAGGTTGACCAGTCAAATATATCAAAAAGATTACAGTTAACCGGTCAAATACGTAATTTGGTTTAACGATTGGAAATACATCAAATTACAGTTTAACCAGTCAAATACATCAAATTACAGTTAAACCAGTCAAATATATCAAGAATTACAGTTAAACCAGTCAAATATATCAAGAATTACAGTTAGCCAGTCAAATACATCAAGAATTACAGTTAACCAGTCAAATATATCAAGGATTACAGTTAACCAGTCAAATATATCAAGAATTACAGTTAACCAGTCAAATACATCAAGAATTACAGTTAACCAGTCAAATATATCAAGAATTACAGTTTAACCAGTCAAATATATCAAGAATTACAGTTAAACAGTCAAATATATCAAGAATTACAGTTAACCAGTCAAATACATCAAGAATTACAGTTAACCAGTCAAATATATCAAGAATTACAGTTTAACCAGTCAAATATATCAAGAATTACAGTTAAACCAGTCAAATATATCAAGAATTTGTTAAACCAGTCAAATATATCAAGAATTACAGTTAAGCGAGTCAAATACATCAAGAATTACAGTTAACCAGTCAAATATATCAAGAATTACAGTTAACAGTCAAATATATCAAGAATTACAGTTAACAGTCAAATATATCAAGAATTACAGTTTAACCAGTCAAATATATCAAGAATTACAGTTAAACCAGTCAAATATATCAAGAATTACAGTTAAACCAGTCAAATACATCAAGAATTACAGTTAATACCAGTCAAATATATCAAGAATTACAGTTAAACCAGTCAAATATATCAAGAATTACAGTTAAACCAGTCAAATACATCAAGAATTAGTTAGTGAAATATGTATCAAGAATTACACATATATGGTATTGTAACACTTTAAGTCAACTAGCACATAGATACTAGTAAAAGTTGTCTTGCTAAAGTACTAAAAATGAACTAGATATCACAGACAGGAGGGAATATTTCAAATGGGGTATAAATGTCAGGCTTCATTAGATAAATCACCCCTCATTGTCATAGATACCTGTCCATCCCTTCTCTCCACAGGTGCTAACTCTATGGTGTCACCTGCTATACTGACGTCATGACCATGTGCTTCGCGGACCCCAACCACAACACTGGGGTAGATGCCAATTAACCTCCGCGTGTTTTAATATATTTTGTTCTTTTTATGTAATGTAAATTCAGTAAGATGGAAATAACACCTCATGTGTATAATAAAAATAGTTAGGTGTTAACTGGAACTAGAAATAATAGGCCTATTGTTGTTTTTGCGTTAATAAATTTATAAAAAAATAAAAATAATAGTTAGCAACTTTTCTTAGAGCAACTGATATATATTAAATAAAATTTATATTAATTATAAACCATAAAATATTAAATACATTTAGTAGAATAATGAAAAAAACTGAAATGAAAAAATAAATTATATCTCAATATAACTACACAGATCAAAGTTATAACAATTATCAGTTTTATATGTTATACTACAATTAAGGAAAACTGTATATATATATATTTTCTTAAATAATAAAAATATAAGATATTTAACAGTAGAAATTTTTATTTATTCATACAAAAATAAATTATTATTAGTAAAATAAAAATTATTTAGTTCTCTATCAGATGCGTCTTGTTTGGGTCACAATAAAACGTTTTAAGGTCCAGTCAACATCTGGATCTACACATTTTTGTATCGTGGTAATCCTCCACATATAGCAGCCATCATGGTGAGTATTATCACCCAAATAATCTATACCTCCTTCAACATCATTATAGTAGACATATTAACTAGTATAATGACATATTTCTCCAGATATTTGGTTAATAATGATGAGCGGCGTCTTGGCTTGGTGGTTTGTTGTCATTTTAAATACAGAAAAATGTGATTAATTATTTTCATTAATATCTTTCCAATGTTTATTAATATTATGATTTATTCACTTACTATCGATTCAATATATTGTATTTTAGTGATTTTGTTTCTAATTAACACATAATTACTTCAATATAGACGTAATTACCTCATTAACGACAGAGCTGGCATTAATAACCACAAAGTTATTTATCCAACTTAAGGACAATGACACAAACAATCAATAACATAAAAGGAAATCTTACAGAACAATAACAAAATACTAAAATTATATGACTAAAGTATCGTATATTTTTTTTTTCACTTTAAGAAATTATTGAAGGTATTAGTGTTTCAGCCCCAAGTGGTTAGGTTAGGTTAGGTTCGGTTCGGTTAGGTTAGGTTAGGTTCATGGTTAGGTGGTAAATCAGGGGTTAGGTTAGGTTAGGTTCATGGTTAGGTGGTAAATCAGGGGTTAGATTAGGTTCATGGTTAGGTGGTAAATCAGGGATTAGGTTAGGTTCATGGTTAGGTGGTAAATCAGGGATTAGGTTAGGTTCATGGTTAGGTGGTAAATCAGGGGTTAGGTTAGGTTCATGGTTAGGTGGTAAATCAGGGGTTATGGATGGAGGGGAACATGAAAACGAGTCCTATAACCCAACTAGGAGCCCCGGTAGGTCAAGCTTAACCTAACCTAACCATTTCCAACTAGTATAAATTCGGTAGTTTAAATCTTTGGGTCGCTCGGTACAATACTATCTGAGTTAGAAGAGGAGGGACCAGAGATAGGTTCAGGGTCGTTGACCTCCTCCTCGTTTGAGTTTAGAAGACAATTAACAGCGCGGCCGCTCAACACACGTGGGGAGAACACCGTGATTATGGAGGAATTGGGCGGCATGGTCAGCCTTCTCGTAAAACTCGGCAATAAATTTAAAATAATTTTAGGAGCACGAATGACGACCGACCTCGACCACGGTCATTGTCACACTGGTCGTTGACAAAAATAAAATTTTTGATTGGTCGAAAAAAAATTTGCACGATGAGATAAATACATCATTGGTCACGACTGGAAGACGTCACGCATGTGTGATGTAAACACGCTCACGGGCTCGCTCTCACGCAGATAACGTCTCCTCACACAGACAAAGACTGAAAAGTATGTAAAATCAATTAAATTCAATTGTCGCTATTATCCATTTCCTCCCGGTGTATGGGGTTCAAAATGCTCACAATAGGAGGTGTAATGTTCAGTAGTTTGGGGCGGTGTGTACTACAGTAAAGTAATAATAACAAGGTGAAGCTATAGTCACACACCAGTGTTTCTCTCGCTGTTATTAATATGTATTTCATAATGTTAATGCAATTCTGAGACATTTTCCGCCGGAAATTAAGGATAACCGAGATATTAATTTTTCAATATTATTAGTTTTGGTTGGTCACAAGTGTCATGTGCTTACATCTGGTGGAGAAGGTCTGACACCCCTCCTCTCACGCTGCAGCCGATATTGTGATAAAGATTATTTTACGTCAATTGCCTAGTTTCATCAGATAATTGGCGAGGCCATGAGAATATTTACTTTTTTTTTTATAAAACACTGTGTATTACTGAACAACGTTCTTTGTCCAAGATGTGGGGGCATGAACAAAGGGGGTTAGGTTAGGTTGGTTGGTTGTATTTTATTTTTGTGATTTACTAAAAAAAATTCCAAATTTGATCTTAGGGGTGTTGGCTGGGGGGGGGTGGGGGCGGAGTATTTAAAAAAACACAGTGATTTCCGGCGGAAATTAATTTAAAATTGGTTTGAAACTCATCAAATACTACAAGAAAAACATATTTCTAATATCCAAAGAAAGATCGAGAAGACTGTAGATTGACCGTAAAAAAATATAGTAAAAGCAAGATTGGTAAATATTGGTCCATTGACTGGCCTCAGGTGCTGGACAACTCCTACCCATCAGAACAGGTCAAGTCGTACCAATCTGCAATAATACCCAATAACGTTAACCAGTCTAGTTTTACCTAACCTAACTTAAACTACAATAATACTTACTGTACCCTAAACTGCCTTGGGTATATAATTATTTAATGTAAACTTATGATGAATTTCACTAGCTAATATCTCATCTGTTTTCAGACTTTCTCCAAAAACAACAAGATGCTCAGTCACATTGGCTATCGCATGAAGATCACCATGCAGGATAGCCGCACCTTTATTGGGATATTCAAAGGTGAGGTGTGGTGTAGGTGCGGTCAGCTAAAGACGCATCAACCATGGCTCTCGTGCTGGCGATTTTACTCAATTTCTCCCTTTGGATTGTTTAATATTAATCCTGACAGTGATACAGCCGTGATATCCACCAATCACCATTACACACAGTCTTAGTTCACCAGGTATTGTCAACACGAGAGCCAGGGAGGGTTGGTGTATCTTTGGTCATGTGTAATGTCTTGTGGGACCTAACACGAGGCAAAACGAAGCGGCTTATTTTTGTGTTAGTTCTCGTCATTCCTGCCATGGATAGAGGAAGTTGGTTGTGGGTGGGTGGTGTGGTGCAATATTTCATCTCTTAGTTTCCTGTAGTTTACCATTTGTTTCATGACAACTCTCATACATCTGTGAGCCATGTGAACACACAAGTCCTGGCCAGTCTTAACACCGCTTGTTATTCCAGCTGTCGACAAACACATGAACGTGATCCTGTCAGACTGCGAGGAGTTCCGGTGTGTGCGGGGGAAGAAGACCAAGGAGGAGAAGCAGGAGAAGAGAACGATGGGTCTGTTGCTGCTGAGAGGAGAGACCATCGTCACCATGACCCTGAGGCCACCACCAACAGAGGTATTGACTTTATCTATTGTGGCTGTGATCACCTCAATGTTGTGTACTCTATGTTACATTACTCTCTCCTTAGGGCTTTAGATAATAAAATATTGTCTTTGCCATCAGCAGGACGGCCCACGCGTCAACCTGCCAGGATCTTCACCCGGACCAGGCGTGGGACGCCCCGCCGGACGTGGCATGCCCGGGACCGGTGGAAGCGGTCTGCAGGGTCCAGTACGTGGGTGGGCGGCCCCTCCCAGCAGATGATGCAGCCTGCCGCCTGCGGCCCTCAGTTGAACGTGTCTCCCAGGGGAGGTCCACCGGGGGGTATGCCGCCCCATATGATGGGTGGTATGCCCCCTCACATGGGTAGAGGAGGACCCATGGCACCTCCTACTGGCTCCATCATGAGAGGAGGTAATAATGGTTTATTATAATGTTCACACCAATAAGTCACTACACTATTATATTTCACTGCTCCGTCTCCACCACCAGGTAAAGGTTACACCGAGACGCTCTTGCCACGTTCTATTACCCGAGGTTAATTATATCGGCTTTCTCGACTATCGTTCAATTCTGTTACCATGACTAAGGACGACCCGGAAATATTCCAGTCTAACCTTCACAGTATAGATGACGAGTACATCACCATCAAGTGTTTTACAGCCAGTTGGCACACTTCCTCAAGTTAACCAGTTACCTGATGGCTGCTCTGTCTCCTCAGGTGAATAATGTTATTTCTTATAATCTTTTCCCTATGTTCTTACCCCTTGACTCTCCTCCCCTCCACATATATAGGCTGTCCCAGGAAAATGTCCCTCTCTCTCTCCCTGTTTCTTGAGACACTGAGTTACAGGGAGAGACATTCTATAAACTCGTGCACCTCTTGGCAATGTTGGCTGATTTAAACCCCCCCAAAATAAATCTGTTTTATCTTTTTTCCTTCTTTGTTATGTTTTAATAAGTTTTATGCTGTTTTTTTATTACTTACAGAAGGTTTTAATGGTTTATAGTTGATTTTGTAAAGGTGTATAATAAGGTGAAGAGAAAGGTGTGGGAGGGCTATTACAAGTGTATAGGGTGGGCAGGGCAGCACAGAGAGTAAAATAGTTGAAATATATGTGAGTATCAGACTAGGATGTGCTATGTCCCTTGATGTGAACTATATAAACCTCCAATGACCAAATTTAATTTAGAAAAGTAAATTAAACATAAATAAGTCCTTTCAATAAGCTTATACTGGAAAGATGCCAAACAGAATAAATGTATTGTATATTTTAGCAATGAAATTATAAATTGTACAGATATTACATTCTACTTGGAATCTTTGGTCAAAAATGTATGGAGAAATAAGCTGGGGTGACTAATCTTCATGTCTCTCTTCTATTTTAGGCCCTCCTGGTGGAAGACCTTACTAGCTGCGTAAGTCTCTGTTCGTCTCGTTTTAGGCGATGGCTACCTACACTTCAGTCAACCCGGGAAGAAGTTCAATGTGATGTTTTCAAGAGGACACACATACATACTCTCTCACTTTCTATTCTTCAAATATTTCTTTTAACTTTGTATCATCTTGAAAAACGTAAACAAACATCACAAATTATCGAGCTTATGCCGAATATGTCAACAGCATCTTGACCTAATAATACCCGAGAATTAGTTTTTATGGGGATACTGATGTTAGTATCTCGTAACTGTACAATTTTTATAATAAAGTGTGAATACTGAGTTTGTTTTATTTTCATGACATATCTGTTTAATTTTTATGTGTTGGTGAGTGTGATGCTAAGGTTACAGGAGCCATTTCAATGGTGTGTAACAAGAGCCAGGCATTTGTCAACAGTGGTAACGAGAGCCAGTACTTTGTCAACAGGAAACAGAGCTTATCAACGTACACAGTACTTGTCAACAGTGTGTAACAGAGAGCCAGTATGTCAACAGTGTGTAACAGAGAGCCAGTACTTGTCAACAGTGTGTAACAGAGGCGTGCTTGTCGTAATAGTGCAACAGAGCCAGTATGTCAACAGTGTGTAAAAGAGCCAGTACTTGCAACAGTGTGTAACAGGCAGTACTTGCCAACAGTGTGAGAGCCAGTACTTTTCAACAGTGTGTAACAGAGCCAGTACTGTCAACAGTGTGTAACAGAGAGCCAGTACTTGCCAATAGTGTACAGAGTCAGTACTTGTCAACAGGTAACAGGGAAGCCAGTACTTGCGCAAAGGTAAAAGAGCCAGTACCAATGTGTGTAACAGAGCCAGTACTTGCCAACAGTGTAACATAGAGCCAGTACTTGCCAACAGTGTAACAGAGCCAGTACTTGTCAACAGTGTGTAACAGAGAGCCGGTCTTGCAACAGGTATGTTTGCATTTTGTGTAACAGAGCCAGTACTTGCCAACAGTGAACAGAGCTAGTGACTTTTAAAGGTAAATAGAGAGTATTGTCAACAGGTAATAGAGCCAGTACTTGTCAACAGTGTATACAGAGCCAGTATTGCCAACATTGTGTAACAGAGCCAGTTTTCAGTAACAGGTGTAATAGAGCCAGTACTTGCCAACAGAACAGAGCCAGTACTTGTCAATATGTAAGACAGTACTTTCAACAGTGTGTAAAGAGAGCCAGTATTTCAAGAACAGTAAAATAGAGAGTACCATAATTATGTAACAGAGCCAGTACTTGTCAACAGTGTGTAACAGAGCAGTACTTGTCAACAGTGTGTAACAGAGAGCCAGTACTTGTCAACAGGTAACAGAGCCAGTACTTGCCAACAGGTAACATGCCATAATAGTGTGTAACAGAGCCAGTACTTGTCAACAGTGTGTAACAGAGCCAGTACTTGTCAACAGTGTGTAACAGAGAGCCAGTACTTGCCAACAGTGTAACAGAGCCATACTTGTCAACAGTGTGTAACAGAGCCAGTACTTGTCAACAGTGTATAAAACAGAGAGTCAGTACTTGTTGTAAATAGAGCCAGTACTGGTTTAGTAGTAAGAGTATAGCCAGTAATTGTGGTGTAAGAGCAGTAAGTACTTGTCAAACAGTGTAAAAGAGCCAGTACTTGTCAACAGTGGTAACAGAGCCGTACTTGTCAACAGTGTGTCAGAGAGCCAGTACTTGCCAACAGTGTAACAGAGCCAGATGCCAACAGTGAAATAGAGAGCCAGTACTTGTCAATAATGTGTAACGGAGCAGTACTTGTCGTGTACAGAGCCAGTAATTGCCAATAGTGTAAATAGTCACAGTAAATAAGAGCAGTATGCAACAGTGTGTAAAGAGCCAGTACTTGTCAAACAGTATAATATAGAGTTGACTTGCCAACAGTGTGTACAGAGCCAGTACTTGTCAACAGTGTAAATATAGAGCCAGTACTTGCCAACAGTGTAACAGAGCCAGTATGACAACAGTGTAAAATAGAGCCAGTACTAACAGTGTGTAACAGAGCCAGTACTTGCCAACAGGTAACATAGAGCCAGTATAACAGGTAAATATAGAGCCAGTACTTGCCAACAGTGTAACATAGAGCCAGTACTTGCCAACAGTGTGTAAGAGATCAGTACTTGTCAACAGTGTAATATAGACCCAGTACTTGCCAACAGTGTGTAACAGAGCCAGTACTTGCCAACAGTGTGTAGCAGAGCCAGTACTTGCCAACAGTGTGTAACAGAGCCAGTACTTGCCAACAGTGTGTAACAGAGCCAGTACTTGTCAACAGTGTGTAACAGAGCCAGTACTTGTCAACAGTGTGTAACAGAGCCAGTACTTGCCAACAGTGTGTAACAGAGCCAGTACTTGCCAACAGTGTGTAGCAGAGCCAGTACTTGCCAACAGTGTGTAACAGAGCCAGTACTTGCCAACAGTGTGTAACAGAGCCAGTACTTGTCAACAGTGTGTAACAGAGCCAGTACTTGTCAACAGTGTAGTGCAGACCCAGTACTCTGCCAACAGTGTGTAACAGACCCAGTACTTCTTGCCAACAGTGTGTAACAGAGCCAGTACTTGCCAACAGTGTCTAGCAGAGCCAGTACTTGCCAACAGTGTGTAGCAGAGCCAGTACTTGTCAACAGTGTGTAACAGAGCCAGTACTTGTCAACAGTGTGTAACAGAGCCAGTACTTGCCAACAGTGTGTAGCAGAGCCAGTACTTGCCAACAGTGTAACATAGAGCCAGTACTTGCCAACAGTGTGTAACAGAGCCAGTACTTGCCAACAGTGTGTAACAGAGCCAGTACTTGTCAACAGTGTGTAACAGAGCCAGTACTTGCCAACAGTGTAACATAGAGCCAGTACTTGCCAACAGTGTGTAACAGAGCCAGTACTTGTCAACAGTGTAACAGAGCCAGTACTTGTCAACAGTGTAACAGAGCCAGTACTTGCCAACAGTGTAACATAGAGCCAGTACTTGCCAACATAAGAAAATAAGGAGTCTGCAATAGGCTGGTTGGCCTGTGCATGGCAGCTCCTGTCGAGAGTTACTACCACTCTCTATCATCCATGAATCTATCTAGCCTCCTTTTATAACTTTCCAGCGTTCCCGCACTTACTACAAAGTTGCTAAGCTTGTTCCACTCGTCCACCACCCTATTTGTGAACCAGTTTCTTCCTATCTCCCTCCTAAACCTAAACTTATCCAACTTAAATCCGTTGCTTCGAGTCCTATCCTGCTCGGATATTATAAGAACTTAATCTATATCCTCTTTATTGATTCCTTTCACCCACTTAAATACTTCTATCATATCTCCCCGTAACAGAACCAGTACTTAGAAATTCTGATTATGAAAATAGATGATATTTGTACTAGTTCTCTACATAAATTAGTTTATTTTAAGTTTTATTATAGTTTACCATAATAAAGTTTTCTGTTATGACGTGCGAGAAATAATGTGTTCGGTTTAAGTAGGAGTTTACTATTTACTTAATATAATTAATTTAACTATATATCAACACTATTAAGTTATAAAATAATATATAAAATAAATATGATTATATATGATATATTATGGATAAAAGAATATGATTAATATAAGAGTAATAAGGTTAAATGATGGTTAATTTAAGATGAAGTCTCAATCAAGAGGAAGGATCCGGACACCATCTCGGATAAAGGTAAACAAAAGATGATTCATTGTAGGAATATCTGTGAATATCCGTAAATTATCTCTTCTGTGTGCTACTCCCGGACTACTACTCCATATAACCTGATGATAGAACCGATAATCTCCACGTGACAGAGTAAGTAACGTAGATCAATTGAGTATAAATGTTAGATATGATAAGGGAGGAAGGGTGAGGGTTGTTCACGTGATAGCTTGTTACACATCCACCAATGGCTTAATGTTACTGTATTTTATCCTCTTGGTTACTGATTGGTCTGTTTGTTAATTGGGTAGTTGGTCTCGTCTCTGTTATGCACTGTTGGCAAGTACTAGGCATGTACTGGTTCCTGAATGCATCTGTACCTGCTTTAGTGTTGGTCAAGTTTGCTCTGATTAGGGTCTATGCCTTCTTGGAATCATTAACCATTGAATTTAATCAGCCAGGGAGGTGTATTAGTATTAAGGAATCGAATTTATAGTATTTATTTTATTCTAGTTAATACATTATTTCATTAAGTTTGAAATAAATGGTTAATATTCGTTTTATGACCGCCCATGATTTAATAATTTGTATTTTATTTTTTCGTATTTCATATTTAAAACGAAAGAAATTTATTATATGGTGTTTTTGGGGGGTAAATGCTTTGATTGGGTGTTATTTCAATTATAAAGTTAGGTAAGGTTAGGATAAATTTGGTTCAGTTAGGTTAGGGCAGGTTAGGTTAGGCTAGGCTAGGTCAGGTGTTTTTTTTTGGGGGGGTGGGGGAGGTAAATGCTTAGTTATGATGTTACAGTATTTCAGTTAGAAAGTTAGGTAAGGTTATGACAGGTTAGGTTAAATTAGGTCAGGTCAAGTTACCAACTAACCTAACCTAACCTGGTCATTGTGGTGGACTATCGGAGGCTGGTACAATATTCTCTGGTTTAATAATATAGAAACTCAGTCTCTTCTCTTGCTGTAGTTTCATCTATTATGTATTTATTTTGTTTTAGCTTTGAGTTTTTTGATACTATTGAAGGTTTTGATGTGGTCGAGTAGCTTGACTGTAAGCAGAGACCGTACCATCAATTTATGTTCACTGCCTCTAGTGCTCTGCTGGTTTTGTATATGCTTAATTCTTGTTAAAGTTTCTTGTTAGATAATCTGGGCTACAGTCCCATACAGTCCATTGAAAATCCTGTAAGTGTGATTAAGACTCAGTTACTGCACTATTTGTAACTTCTTGACCAATGTTATTTCTTGCTTTCATCTCAAAAATGAAATTCACTGCCTTCTTTTGAACAGTTTTGAGCTTGGATATTAGCTTCAGTGTTAGGCCAGAGTACCGTGATGAACAGGAATAGTCCAAGAGAGATTGTGTGAATGACAAGCAGGTTCCTATGGGCATCAGCTGAGAGGCAGTTAGCATTTATATAGAGAAATTTTATTATGGCATTACTTT